TTTTGTATGGTAAAGCAACATTGTTTATAGTCTCTCTGAATGATATGGTGCAAAGGAAGTTAATCAGCTCACACAGATTACACCTGTGAAACAATCCACTGGAGCACAAGTGAGTTTGCCTCGGAAAGAGGTGTTATTGAATTGTCCATCTTTTTATAAGCACATAGAATCACATGTGTACAGTATTATTCATTGACAGGCTTCTCTCTGATGTCTTGATAAGGCTCAGAAAAGACAAATGTCACTCCCATCGCATCCCATGTCAACAGAAGCTTTAAGGTTCTATTTGCCAGATTAGTGAAATAATTTTGAAAAACAATTTTTAAACTCAAAATACATGTTATGTTATGAAAATGATCAATAGCTGACTATTAGTCATCAGGAAATAAACTGAAGGCAATTCTTCTCTAGATTCTGTATCATTAATAAATGAGATTATGAAGACATGAATTGGTTTATATAATAAGCATTCCTACCATCATAAAATGTTGCTGTCATGAGTTATATTACATCTTGACAATCCCCATGATTGGAGGAAGATCAGTGTCTTGGAAAGATGTTGCTCCATATTGTTAGTTTGTTGATTTATCAATGAGAGGATATGACTCCATGTTATTAATTTAAATTTCTTTGCTGAGCAGCCAAGCATGCAGGCTATCAAACAACCCTAATCCTTCTCCATAAGGCAAACCACAACAAATGTAAGCTCTCCATTTTTTATGCAGACTTATTTTCAGATGTATGTAAAGATTTGAACATTGTGGAGGGGAGGAATCAGGAAGCAACATAAGAACAGCCATACTGGGTCAGAGCAAAGGTCCATCTAGCCCAGTATTCTGTCTTCCAACAGTGGCCAATGCCAGGTGCCTCATCAGGAATGAACAGAACAGGTAATCCTCAAGTGATCATCTCCTCTCTCCCATTCCCAGCTTCTGACAAACAGAGGCTAGGGACACCATCCATGCCCATCCTGGCTAATAGCCTTTGATGGACCTATCCTCCATGAACTTATCTAGTTCTTGTTTGAAGCCTGTTATAGTCCTGACCTTCGCAACATCCTCTGGTAAAGAGTTCCACAGAGTGACTGTGTGTTGTGTGGAAAAAATACTTCCTTTTGTTTGTTTGTTAAACCTGCTGCCTATTAATAGCATTTGGCGACCCCTAGTTCTTGTGTTATGAGAAGGAGTAAATAAGGAAGTGTTATTTAATATCTCTACACCAGTCATGATTTTATAGACCTCTATCATAACCCTCCTTAGTTGTCTCTTTTCTAAGCTAATAAGACTCAGACTTTTCAATCTCTCTTCATATGGAAGCTGTTCCATACCCCTAATCATTTTTGTTGCCCTTTTCTGAACCTTTTCCAATTCCAATATCTTTTTTGAGATGGGGCAACGACATCTGCATGCAGTATTCAAGACATGGGTGTACCACGGATTTATATAGAAGCAATATGATATTTTCTGTCTTCTTATCTATCCCTTTCTTAATGATTCACAACATTCTGGTCACTTTTTTGATTGCCGCTGCACATTGAGTGGATGTTTTCAGAAAACTATCCACAATGACTCCAAGATCTATCTTGAGTGGTAACTGCCAATTTAGACCCCATCATTTTATATGTAAAGTCGGGATTGTTTTCCAAAGTGCATTACTTGCATTTATCAACATTCAATGTAATCTGCCATTTTGTTGCCCAGTCACCTAGTTTTGAGATCCTTTTGTAGCTTTTCTCAGTCTGCCTGGGACTTAACTATCTTGAGTAGTTTTGTATCATCTGCAAATTTTGCCACCTTTTTCCAGATAATTGATGAATATGTTGAATAGGACTGGTCCCACTACAGACCCCTGGGGGACACCACTATTTACCTCTCTCCATTCTGAAAACTGACCATTTATTCCTACCCTTTGTTTCCTATCTTTTAACCAGTTACCAATCCATGAGAGGACCTTCCCTCTTATCCCATGACAGCTTACTTTGCTTAAGAGCCTTTGGTGAGGGACCTTGTCAAAGGCTTTCTGAAAATCTAAGTACACTATATCCACTGGATCCCCCTTGTCAACATGCTTGTTGACCCCCTAGACCATTAGGGGAACCCCAATGCTAGGGGAATTGCCAGCTGCCCCTTTAGGACAGCTTTAAGACATATTTGTTCCACTGGGGTATCAGCCTGGGGTCTATATTACATGCACAGAGTAAAAGTATGATGAGTATGTGAGATTTACTTGTAAAAGTGGGCAGTGATGCAGACAGAAAATAGGGAATAAGGAGTCTTAATATCTTGGTACAATAGTGCAATTATTCACAACCTGCATAACTCAAGAGTTCAGTCATCGTTCTAATAAGAGTTGAGATGGATCTAAGCTGCAAAGAAAGAGTGGCCAGCTTTGAAGTTTGGCTCTGGATCCCCAATGTATCTTTAAGAGTAAATTCAGAATATCTTATTTCAGGGCCTGATCAAAACTTATTGACTTTGGTGTGGATTGGACTGAGTCATAAACCAACTTCCCTCAGATCAAAACATGTCTGTCTCCAAAAGGCTGCAGGAGGAATTCCTGAACAAGAGGTGTATGTGTCTAACAGGTGGTCTCCCAAATGACCAAGATGTCCATTTTACATCTCACTAATCTACATTCTGGAAACTGGGTGAAATCCTGGCTACTGGAAGTCATGATAAAAGTTAAAGGAGACAGATTTTCACCCTGTGTTTTGGTGAAAGGGTTCTTAATTGTTTCTGCATTTGTATAACCCACTTCTTCCTAATTCTAAGTAGTGAGTTGTTGGTTCAAGTTCTGTTAATTGTACAATGTCTGAAAATAATCCAGTAGCTTTAGGTTGTGACCTGTGACTTGGAACCATGCCTCCTTTGGTTTGTAAAATGTAGATAGAACATTGGGACTTCTAGGGAGACTGATGCTTTCCTTCAGAAAAACAGGGTCAGCATCTCTTAAATTAATGACTGTTAGGTTTGTGCTATGCAAACCATATTTGATATGGGCAAGCTCACCAATTTTCTTTATTTTTATGGTAAATTTTTTAGGAAAGTTTTGTGGCAGTTCTGGCAGAGTCCTGATTTCTCGGACAGTTCTCATTCTGGTTTTAGACCTGGGTAGGCCAAGGAGTATGGGTATGGTATGGCTGATTGTAATGGTCTATGGTCTCATTTTAGTGATGGATAAAGGTGATGTGTCCACACTAATCCTCTTAGATCTGTCAATCCTCTTTACTTCTGTCAACCGTGAGGTATTGTTGACCTGTTAATGTTAACAAAGTAAAACTCTATACTTGGTTATCTTTTCCTTGAAAAAGATCTGGAAGGTAGCACTGGGTGACAGGTCTCATGACAGAAAATCTGTGTTCTGGAAGAATCTATTCTGCCACCTGCCCTGTCTAATATGTATATGAAGTCATAAAGGGAGACAGAACAGTTTTTGTTGCAGTGCCATAATCACACTGATGCTTGGCTTCACATTTGTTTCTCCAACTCAGGTACCAAGTTCAGGTTTTCCAGTTTACCAGAAATTACAGTTTAGATGATAGCCATCTGCTTACAACTAATTTCTGATAAGATTGAAGAAATTCTGACTGATGTTCTTTCCAGAGGAAATTTCCAGAGGAAATTGTGAATTTGATATCTACCTCTTCAATTGAGGGTACATGGCTGTTTTTGGATAGTAATGTTTGCGATCTAGGAGCCCTCTTGGATCCTTGCTATCTGAATATCTAGAAGAAGTCAGCAATGGCCAAGACTGCTTTTTTCATCTTCTCTGAGTAACTTTTCCTATCAGGTGCAGGCCTTAGGTTGCCTCCATTACCTACTTATGGTGATCTCCATATTGGATTGTGGCAATGTGATCTTCTTGATGCTACTCTTAGGGCTTGTCTACACTGGCAAGTTTTGTCGCCAAAAACTGCCTTAACGAAAACAGCAATAATGTACATACTGCAATGTGACTCCTCCTCCCCACCCCCCAAAAAAGCCTAGTTTTGGTGACAAACTTCCACCCCTTCAAGAGACTTTTTTCCCCCCCTCCCTTTATTGTCGACAAACAGCCAGTGTAGACACTGTGACATTATTGATATAATCTGGGACCATAGAGAACATGGTTGCAACCAAAGTCCTGTAGTGGCACCAAATCTTGTAAAAAGGGGGTCAAATGAGGTGTCTAAGACAAGGTTATGGTTTGCTGGTTATGATTATGCTGTCTATATGTGTGTATCAATTTTGTAGTTGAAGTTGTGAATATTGGCTCTATACTGTCTGTATTTCAAACTTATGCTATGCTTCTGGGAGACATCCCAGACAAGTTGGTGTTAGCTCTGCCTAGCCTGCTTGATGGCCCATTAAGGACCATCAGCTATACAATTGACCCATGGAGAGAAGGCAGATACGCCTTGTAACTCAGCAAAGTATGCAGGAACTTGCCCATGTGACTCCAGACTCCATTTTGCTGTAATTTTCCACAGTAAGAACAAAGAGGTGTTCTTACACCTGGAAAAGACTATATAAGGCTGACGCCTCGTCTCCATCTTGTCTTCAATCCTGCTTCTTACCTCTGGAGGGACTTTGCTACAAACTGAAGCTTTGAACAAAGGATTGAGGACCCATCCCAGCTGGGGAGGTACTCCAGAGACTTGATTTGAACCTGCAGTTTATTTCACCACTGCTACAAGCCTAAACCAGTAACTTTGCCATTACTGTATGTAATTGATTCCATCTAACCAATTATAGCTCTCATCTCTATCTTTTTCCTTTGATGACTAAACCTTTAGATTTTAAATTCTTAAGGATTGGCAACAGCGTGATTTGTGGGTAAGATCTAATTTGTATATTGACCTGGGTCTGGGGCTTGGTCCTGTGGGATCAGGAGAACCTTTTTCTTTTACTGGGGTATTGGTTTTCATAACCATTTGTCCTCATGATGAGTGGCACTGGTGGTGATACTGAGAAACTGGAGTGTCTAAGGAAATTGTTTGTGTGACTTGTGGTTAGCCACTGGAGTGAGACCAAAGTCCTCTTTGTCTGGCTGGTTTGGTTTGCCTTAGAGATGGAAAAACCCCAGCCTTTGGCTGTAACTGCCCTGTTGGAGCAATTTGTCCTAAATTGGCACTCTCAGTTGGGTCCCTCCAGAACTGCATTGTTACAGACACCACAGGTTTTTGTGGTTTTTTTAAATTTTTTTATTGGCCTCCAGAAAGTGTCCCACAATTCCTATGCTGCTGCTCTGGTCAGTAGTTTGAACTCTGCTGCCCTGCAGCCAATCCACCCCTCCCCCTTGCAAGCCCTGGGAATTTTAAATCTCGTTTCCTGCTTGCTGGCTTCCCAGAGGAGCTTCCCAGGTAAGCATAACTGGTTATTGCACCAAACCCCCTCCCGCTTGGACCACTACTGAGTTGTTGGATCTAATCAGTATATGGGGAGAAGTCTGTTCAGTCGCAGCTGCGAGTTACCCATAGGAATCAGGACACATATGGGCAAATTTCTCAAGGCTTGTGCGAAAAGGGCTATGATCAGGACATGCAGCAATGCAGAGTGAAGATAAAGGAGCTGAGTCAGGTGTACCATAAGGCGCGGGAGGCGAACCATCGCTTCGGTGGTGCACCTAAGACCTGCCACTTCCATAAGGATCTAAATGCTATCCTTGGTGGTGACCCCACCTCCATCACCGATAGCCCCATGGATACTTCGCAGGCAGCAGAAAGAGGGGGTAACCCGGAGGCTGAAATTCTGGATGAAGAAGTTGAGCTAGAAGAGGAGGTGGCGCTCCCAGTGGGCAGGCAGCCAGGAACTTTTCTCCACTCCAGAAGTGCTCAGCGGGGAGCAGGAAGCAGATGAGACACCAGGTAAGTTGCTGTGGCTTGTGTAAGGAATCAAAGTGGGAGGCAGGTAATTGCCCTGTGTAGTTAATCTGCCTGGCCAAGCAGGGTGTCGATGGACATTGAGACCTGCAGGGAATCCTCCAGAGGCTCTGGAAAGTTTCCAAGAGGTACTTGTTAATCCTCTGCTGCAGATTCCAAGGGATTGCAGCCTTCTTAGTTCCCCCATTGTAGGAAACTGTACCGTGCCATTTAGTAATCACTGGAGCTGGGACCAAAGCAGCACATAGCTGAGCAGGGTGAAAGCCGCAAGCATGCAGCAGTTGTGCCCTGGTCTCTCTGGTCACCTGCAGCAGTGAGATGTCAGCCAGCAGGTTGACTGCTTGTGAAAAAGTGTGTGATCATTTTAGAATGAGTTCCCTGCGAAGCTGCCCTGTAAGCCATGACCTTTGTCCAGACGTACAACTGCCTCCCCCCCACTCCCAACACTCACCATGACTGGGATGCTCGCGGAGCTGTGTGGCTGCCTAGAGTCTCAGAGAGAAAGTATCAGAGGGGTAGCCGTGTTAGTCTGGATCTTGTAAAAAGCAACAAAGAGTCCTGTGGCACCTTAAAGACTAACCAATGTTTTGGAGCATAAGCTTTTGTGGGTGAATGCCCACTTCGTCAGGCGCATGCAGAGAAAGTGATTGCTACTAGCAAAAGGCCCTTGTTACTAAAATGTTTCAATTATTTGCTGGAATGCAACAATCCCGCTTCTGTTCAGCACAGACCTTGACGAACACCCCATGCACCCCCGCAGACCGGTTCGGCAGATAAGGGAGAACCCTCGTCACAGCAAAGAAGACCTGTTCCAGGAGGTGCTGCAGCACAATGAGAGACAGACCAGGGAACGCAAAGAGTGCTGGGAAGCCAATGCTGCATTTGCTAGGCAAGTGACAGAGCGGATGATAAGTTATGGAGGATCAGACAGAGATGCTCAAGTCTTTTGATACAGCTGCAGACGGAGCAGATCCCTGGTCGACCTCCACTGCAACACATGCAGATGCACAATTCTTTGCCAACCCCACCCCCCTCTATGCCCACACATTCCTTTTCACTTCACAGCACTCCTGAGTTTCCCCATCACACCACCCCCTCCCACAGCTTGCACAATGATAGCTGGAGCTCCACACAGTTGTGAGGTTTTACCCTTTTTAACAAAAATAAATGCTAAGGTATTTAATGATACAGCGTTTTTATTCTGTGTTCTACAAAAGCATATAGCAATCAATTCACTCTCAGGAACAGGTTTCTAAAGCATTTTGTTGCATGGATCTTGGGCCCAAAATTGTACATGGATGCACCAACTCCAAAGCAGACGTGTTACTGCCCCTCATTGTCAAAGTGGTTCCTCAAAGCCTTTCTGATATTAATAGCAGCCCTCTGGGCTCCTCTGACAGTCTTAACATCTGGCTGTTCAAACTGTGCAGACAAGCACTCTGCCTCAATGTGCCACACCTGAGCAAACATTTCACCCTTAGATTCACACAGATTATGCAAAGTGCAGCACGTGGCTATGACAACGGGAATATTATCCTCGGTAAGGTCTAGCCCGCCATTGAGACATCTCCAGCGATCTTTCAAACAGCCAAAGGCACACTCAACTACCATGCGGCACCTGCTCAGCCTGTTGTTAAAACGCTCCTTGCTGCTGTCCAGGTGCCCTATATAAGGTTTCATGAGCCAGGGCTGTAAGGGGTACAGCCAGGATTACAATGGGCATTTCCACATCCCCCACTGTGGTCTGGTGGTCTGGAAAGAAAGTCCCTGCCTGCAGCTTTCTGTATAGGCCACTGTTCCTGAAGATGCATGCATCATGCACCTTTTCAGACTAGCCTGCACTGTTGTCCGTGAAACGCCCCTGGTGATCCACAAGCACCTGCAACGCCATGGGGAAATATCCCTTCCTATTGATATATTCAGAAGCAAGGTGATCTGGCACTAAAATTGGAATATGTGTGTTCAGTGGCGTAACCAGCTTCTAAGAGGAGGGGAAGCAAACATAAAAAAGGTGCCCCCCTGGGCTCCTCCTCTGGCCATGCCCCCCTTGGCTCCTCCAGCCCTGCCGTGCCACCCCCAGGGCCCACCCCCCTTGCTCCTCCGGCCGCGGCTGCCGGCCGCGCTGTGGGCCGCATGCTTCGCCCCCCCCCCCCCCCCCCC